GCATAACAAGGAATAATGGCCACAACTTGTTGGAGAGTAGGTTTAGATTAGACATCCGTAAGAACTACTTCACTGTCAGGGCGGCTAGGATCTGGAACCAACTTCCAAGGGAAGTGGTGCTGGCTCCTACCCTGGGGGTCTTTAAGAAGAGGCTTGATGCCTACCTGGCTGGAGCCATTTGAGCCCAGTTTTTCTCCTGCCCAGGCAGGGGGTCGGACTTGAAGTTCTACAAGATCCCTTCCAACCCTACTTCTACGATTCGATGACTAGCTCTGCTGTATTTTTTGTTTTTCCGTATTGGTTTCCCTTTCCCTTTTATGTAAAACCATGGCAGAGCAGGAGACTTACGTGGGGGGCAGAGCCCCCACAGAACTTCCTACAGCCCCCACTCTGGAGGCAAATCCCAGCCAAGCCCCCAAGGGGGCGCATGCCCCTACAGCCCCCACCCCAGAGGTGTAGTCCAACTGGCCCCCACCAGGGATAGAGATGCCTGCAACCCCCACTGCCCCCCACCCCGAGGGGTTCCCAAGCTCCTCTCCCCACCATCAGTGACCAAGGGCAAGGGCAGTGGGAAGGGCTCTTCAGCACTCTTTCCTGCCACGGCAGGGGGTTGGACTTGATGATCTGCTCAGGTCCCTTCTGACCCTACCAACTGTGAAACATCCTCCACAGCTGGGGGTGGGAAGGGCAAGGGCCCTGCCCTCAAGCCTAGACCACCGATGCCTGAGGGGACCAGGTGCACCACACCAGCCAGCACACCCACTCAGCCTGTCCCTGGCCTTAGCTCTGGCCCCACCAATGCAGCCCCCAAACAGGGGAACCACAGCTATGCACAGGCGGTTATGGGGCAACTCACAGCCTTGGAGCCTGGACCCCCCCACTGCTGGCCCTTGCAGCTCAGGCGGCAGGGCCCCCTTTCCGGCACTCACCCACAGGCATAGGGTGAAGTGCCAGCTACCCAAGTGAGAGAACCTGCACTTTGAGACCTGGGTGCAGGCCCTGGCCCAGGTGGGAGCCCCACCCCCACAAGATTGTGGTGGCCACCACAAAAAAAGTTTTTTTTTCTTGCCTTGGAGGCTGCTGCACAAAAGTCAGTGGAGAGGGGGCTCATGGTAGAGGGCAAGTACATCCCCCTCAAACCCCTAGAAGATATGGGGCCCCAGGTGGTCCTGAGCTCCATCCCACCCCATATCCCTAATTGGGCCCTGCTCTCCCAGCTCCAAACCCTGGGGAGGATTATCTTCCTGGTGACGGCCCTCTTGCTGGGGTGCCAGCACCCCAGCCTCCACCACATGCACTCATTCCATCACTAGGTCATGAGCCAGCTGGAGGCTGAGGGATCCCTCACGATTCCTTTTCAGGGGGCCCTGGTGAGGGTGTTCTATATGCTGGGGGGCATGTGGTGCTTCCAGGGACATGCCCTGGGGCACTTGCCAGTATGCTTCAGCATCAGGGCAAAGGCCAGCCATAGAGATGCTCTGGCTGGTTACCAGAGCGTCTCTGTGGACCGAAGTAATTTTGCCCCTGTGCTGCAAATTTGCAGTGCGAAGAAGTTTTTTTTGGTTCCCACACGTGCCTCTTGCAGCTTCTCAAAGGGGTTTGAGACACTGCAAGAGGCACATGCACACTCATGTGGACACGCCCAGAGAGTCTCAGGGTCTAATACTGAAGACAACCAATGAGGGGCAGCAATACAAAAGCATACGTCTATAACAACAACTTGGAATATACTTTATTTAATAATTTGTACAAGGAACACAGTAGTAACTCAATACTTCCATTTATTAATTGTCAAACCATAATCCACTGCAATAAGAAACAAAAATAAACAAAAAAGAACTTGTGGGGTGTGTGTTTGTGTGTATAACTAAAAATGGCAAGAATAGCAGCAACAACAACAAAAAATAAACTTTTAAATGAGTTGGTTATATACAGTCAGTATCATCATGTTATTTTGCTGGATAGATTCATTTGGTGTTATCCAGTCCTAGCGACAGGTTTAAATATTGCTGCAGGTAACATGAATGCAAGTCAAAAGCAGAAAACCAAAAACTATAAATAAGGTAAGGACTAAAGATAACCCTCCCACACAAAAGTAATGGTGCTGTGTGTCATATCTGTAACCATTTTATAGCAGATACTTTGTGGTCAAACTCTTCAGGTGAACTCTTAGGTGGAATTCCTTCATTTAAATAAAAATGGAAAAAGAAAAAACAACCTCAACCTTTCATTAACTGCCTTTTTTTCTCTTTCATTCAAAGTGTTTAAATTATTTTTTTCTATACAAGGTAAGTACATTGTCTGTACAAAGTTAAATATACATATTTACAGTCAAACTTCTGAAGCACTTTGAGTCTTTTCTTCCGCTGATTTTGGCGAAAGATAAAGTTCATTTGTTTTTCAACCCAGGAGCATGGCTATTTTATCAAAACGTATTGCAAGTCATGCTAACAGTTAGTTGCAGTTACTATTAATAAATCTGTATAAAAGCATCAGCATAAAAATAGGCATTTTATATTATTAAATACGGCTTATGACAAAATAGCAATCTAAACCTTTGCTATTTGTACTATAGCTGTTGGAAGCAGAGTCTGATGCAACAGGTTCTGTTTATGCTTTTTTTTTTAACAAAATTTCTATCAAAAAGAGCATTCATTTTTGACTTACAGACAAGTATATGGGCAATCCATGTTTTTCAAAGTAGTACAAATATATGCAGCTGGTAAAAGCTGTGTAAGTGCAGCTTACAAATTGGCTTGACTTTCTTGTTTCATTAGGAGGCAGCCAAAATGTCTTAATTTATTCAAGACCCACCATCAAAACCATAACCAAAAAAAGAAAAAAGGCACACATTAATATTTTGCTAGCATCTATCTGGATTTTTAAGGTAGAACACCAGGAAGAAATGACATCTTCATTGCAAAGGGTACACTTCAAAAGGTGTCATCAGGGCCAACAATTTTGAAAAAATAATTATGGCCATGGTTGTTGCAAATAAGATTTGTACCTGAAATTTCAATTACTTGTGCAGACAACTGTAGAAAATACAACCCTACTGGGTTTTGTGCAGTGTTTTTTTCTTTTTCTGTTTTTGGCCTATTCCTCTGGATTAAACTACCAATTCAAAGCTCTCTGCATGATACAGTGCCCTGTAGACTAACCACAAAAAGCTGTCTGACAGCTCTGCCTGCTGAAGTGCACGTCAGGAGGAAAGAGTGTAGAATTAAAGTAGGAAGCAGAGGGAAATAACCTGTTGGATGGGGGTGCCCTTATTACGGGAGGAGGGTACCTTGATATTGGAGAAGATCCCCTTACCCAATCGTAGAAGGGAAGCAGTTGAAGGGTGGTGAGTTACCTATTCCATCCTGCTGCTGTCCTCAGTTCTGTCTTAGAGCTAAGTACTCACTCAATAAAAAAGCCTATGAAAACTAAGATTATCATCAGAACTCTTGGAGGGGAAGGGGGAATATACAAAGGCAGCACTGTAAACTAGAAACATTGTCTCTTCTTCAGCAAATATGTCATTTAAGCCCTGCCTCAGTAGAACCAGGGCTGCACATTCAACGCAATACTGTATGTACCACATAACCACATCCCACTTACACTTCTCATCTCCTGTCTATTACATTCAAAATTATCTGATTTCATAGGTTGTTGCTATTTATATGTTGTCTGTAAACAAAACACCTAACAACCATTTACTGCAGTTTTAGGATTGCTTTACAAATACAGAAGTTTCACATAGTTGCCTGGGAAAGTGCCAAACTGCCTTGTCCTCCTGGATGTACCTGTTGGGAAAGGAAACAGGAGTTAGCAGGCATTAAATAAGATACATCAGGATGTGTCCCCCTTCTCCTACCAATCCCTCCTCTATTCTCATGGATAACCAATTTCCTCTTCAGCTATCCTGCTGAAACTTAACTTGTTCAGACTCAGCTCTCTGAGGTTTGGGAATTGTGTATAACATACAATGTGATGCTGAGGCTATATAAATGCCTTATAATAATTTGAGATGGGTGAAATTTTTTCTTTCAGACTTATCTTGGACTCAAAGTGCACTTTCAAGCTTTTTTCAAATTACTTCGGGATTTTTTTTTAACATTTTGTATTTTTTGTTGAAAACAGAAAATAGTATTCTAGAAATTTTGACTATCCAGAATGTTGGGTTTTCCTCCATTTTCCCCCTTTTTGCTAACACACTCAAGGGGATGAGAAGTCAGGGATCTTTTCCTCCTTTTCCCTCCTTTCCCCCCCCCCCCGCTTTTTTTTTTTCTCATTTGCCACTTTTTGAAACACATCAAAGCTTCCCTGATTTTGGAAAAGTTATGGATTAGCCGAAGGGTAATTGGAACTCTGCAATTCTGCTACCTTTCTGAAACTGGGAAAGGTTTGGATAAGTTCCAGAGCAGCAAAAGGAAAATGAACAAGAGTCAGTGGAAAAATCCCAGGTCCCGAGACATAATTTTTATATATTGCTCTGAGTGGGTGCATCTACACACGTGTTTTACTATGGAGTTGAATAATTAGTTCCACAGTAAAGCACCACTGTCTATACATACACCAGTACTAGGGCGCAGTAAATTAATTAACTCCACTGTCAGGGACAGTACTATCTTATGGCAGAGTAATTAAGTATGACAAAACACACGTGTAGATGGTGACAGGGACTGGCTGGGGCAAAAGGGTGCTAAAGTGCAGGGGATGCCTGCTACACAGCTCCTCATTTTAGCACTCCTGTGCCCCAGCCAGCCCTCCCACCACCTGATGCCACCACCCAGAGCCCAGAGCTGACCCCCCTGAGCCTGCTGCTAGACCAGGGCTGCTCCACGCCAGCTCAAAGTACTACTGTCCTGGGTGGGTGCACACGTAGACACTGTGCCCCAGAGCAGTTAACTCCAGTGCAAACTGTGCCAGAATTTATTCCATTGCCTTAATTTCATATGTAGATGCACCAAGTAAGAACAGAAGGCAAAAAGGGGAAAGAAAAACTTTTATGGACATTTTTCTCCATTTTGAACCCTGCAAAATAGAAACAAATTCCTCTTTTTTGCAAAGCTGATTTTCTGATATTCAGGCAATTCTCATGATGTTATTAATAGCCCTTACCCACAAACCAGCCATCATCACACTTCTCCATGACATCCACAATATCCCCATCCCTTAGCTCTAGCTCATCATCATTCTGTGGCGTATAGCTGTAGAGGGCTTGGTAGCTAACTCTAAAACAAGAAAGAGGAAGAGGTGCTGTAAATTATGTGCTGCTGTTCCCCGACATCCATGCAACAACCTGTCTTTAAAATATGAATGGTATCATACAGGAGCACCAGATTTGTCAAGTACACATAGCATTTAAAAAATAACAATATATACCTCTTCTATTTTACATTATGGTTCCAAAATCAACTGCAAACTACCTGTGTTGCTAAAGGAGGGTGAGGTATGGATGCAGTCCATAGTAAAGTGTGTTGTGCATCTGCACTGTACCAAGAACATCCTAGGGAAACAACCATGAATTACCAATCCCAGAAAGAGAGGTAATAAGTGAGCTGTCCAACCCACACCCATGTGCCTGCCTCCATAGTCAGAGGTACCCTTACTTTGGTGCAGAATGGTAATTCTATTCCTTTGCCCAAGCATGTAGTTCAAAGGAAGTTCTAGATCACACTAACTGTATTAGCTGCTTACAGATGTGGAAACCACCCCCACCAAATCCTCGAAAATGGCACTTTACTTTATACTCTGTGCATTCCCATGCCGAGCCCAACACGTGCCAGAAGAGGCAGCACGTTAGGGGCACCCGGCTTTCCTAATCTCTGTAGAGACTGGGCACTTTAGTGGGGCTTTTTTGGTACTTGTATCTAATAGTCGACTGAATAGGCTCTAGCTAAAAATGCCAAAAAGCCCTGCTAAAGTGCCCAATTTTTACAGACATTGCAGCCTCAGATACTTAGTGTTGGGATCTCTGGAGTGGTAACCTGACTCAGATCCTGGGCATGTATTAATTTGTAGCAACACCCACTTACCAGCAGCATTTATCTTGGGAACATTTTTTATACCATGTATTCAGATGCCACTCCCTATAACAGCACCAACCGCTTAGGAGCAACATAGTACTGATGTGTTACTAACAGCTACTGACTATATAGGTGCGCATTTACCCTATGCTAATGAATCTCCAGGTACTCTACTGTACTCTGCTTCCCTAATAGAGAACGTTTCTTTCTCCATGAAATGACACAACAGGCCTGACTCTCTGCTGCTTTGCTACTGTGTTGTCATTTACACTTGTAGAAAATTGCACCCAATCTAGCCCAGTTTAAATAGCATCACAATGGGCAAGGCAGTGAAGAATTAGAGCCTGGGACCACAAACCCAATGACAGATTTTCCCCTTTCATCCATACACATAAAACAAGAGTTCAAGCTTCAGAAAGTCATGATACAGCACTAACAAGCCAAGTTATCCAAAAGCACAAATCAAGACCTCAGTGAAGCCCCAGTTGCGATTCAGAGTCTGTTGTGCTTAGACCAGTATAAATACAAGGCTCTGGTTTTCAGCCCTCTCACTGCAACAGCAAAAGCTGGAAATATTTTTTCCTTGAAAGCTAGTGGTCTCATATCCACAGATAGCACATGAAGAAAAACACCAAGGCAACCCTGACACAGGCTAAACCAGGTCCCTGATAGAGCTGATAGCCTGAGAAACTTACATGTCTCGTGGTGTTTGACTCCTGTCAGGGCTGGCTCCTTGCTGCTGTGCTTGAGGTTGCTGAGAAATGATTAGAGATGGTTTATTGTCATTAGAGGTGACCTTGTGGCGAGAGTCAAGAGGCTGAGAAATAGTACTGCAGTAATGAACAGACTTTTCTGCAATGTTTATGATCTCATTGCAAACTGCTTCCTGCGTGGTAGGCAGCATTGACATCCAAGAAACACCCATAGAACAGTCAACAAGGGGGAAGGGAAAGGGAAAAAAGACAGGAAGAGATGGGACAATCCAGATGCAGCACATAAGTCCAGTAAAACAACAGAGTTGTAGATCCAGGTATATATCCAGGTAGTGGAGTGCAGAAGGGATCCAGGTTGTAAGCATGGAAAAACAGGCAAGATACAGAAGAATTTGGTATTTAGTTTGAAGATTTGTCAAAAAGCAGCAGCATTAGAGGTTGCAATTAGTTAGCAGTGGCACCATCACAGACTCTAGTCTACCAATCCAAGAGTGCCAATTGGCACTCTCCAGTCATGCACTATGCATTTAACTCTAAGTCAACTACACCAACTCCTTGTTGGCTCTGGTAGCTGTTCTAAGTGCTAAATTCTAGTTCTCCGTTACAAATACGTTGATTTATATACACACACACACAGACACACACACACACACACACACAGACACACACACACACAGACACACACACAGACACGTATATATATTATAACTAAAAAAGCAGTTGGCACTTTTAAACTCTACTGAGACGTTACCATCTATGATCAGAGAGGCTATATGACTACGCATCTTATTTAAACAACAGCCTTACCACATAGCTCTTTTCAGACTCTGTGAGATCTGGTCCTGCTCTCAATGAATGATGAGAAGGCTGTGTGATCACCAAGCAAATTATAAGGAAGACATTTTAGCAGATGTTATATTGGTCAGAATTAAAAGAAAAAAAAAAAACCATGGTGCACAGACAACAGAGTAAAACAAAAAACACCCGCCACCGCTAGATTCACACGAGATTTTTCCAATGGGGGATGCCAAGACTACAGCAATGCAATTGCAATGCAGCACAGAGTGCTACAAAGGGAAAGGCAATGGCAAAACACAAGGAAAAGGGTTGGAGCAGCAGATAGGGTGGGCGAGATGAAAAGTTAGAGACACAGCTAGAGTTGCGGAAGGTGAACGGTGTTGCATTGCATTCCTGTAGGGAAAAAAAGAACATGGACAGAAAGCACAAGTTTCAGACCATCAGACTCAAAGGCCAATGACCACAATGAAAGGAAACATTGTCATTATTTCTTGAAAGGCCCCTGATGATATCTGGGACAAGACAAAAAAAAAAAAAAAGCCAGCTGGCCTCCCACCAAGGATTAGACTAATTCCTTAGATGGTGCAATGCAAACTAGTTCAGTTGAAGTTACTCCAGTTGCACCAGGCAAGGATCTGATATGCTACACTAATTCTATGAACAAATCAACCTTTTGGTGGGACTTGTTCTTCAGAACAGAGGCAACCCTGAACTAAAACTGCAGTAGAGCTTCAGGGCCTTTCTGAAATCTTCCACAAGAACTAATTTGAACCTTCTTCCTCTCACCCATGTCCTAGTTGAGAACCATCCCTCCCATATGCCCCAAGTCATTGTCAAGCTCATCCAGAGAACTCCCAGGTCTCCCGGCTCACTTGGAGGGTCTCAAAAGCACAACCAGTCGGCAGACGATTACCAACAAAAAAGCAAATCCACAAATATATTTTGTGGCCTGATACTGCACTGTGCATGCCCCCTGGGAGTGCTGTATGTATAGGAAGTGCCCTCTGGAGTTTATTACTATAATCTGCACTATGCATGGACAATGTGGGTTGGGTATAAGACACGTTGCTCTGCTGTAAATATTCAGTAGAGCCAACATCTTGTCTGGCGAGTCCAAAAAAGCCCATTTTGTGTTCTCTCACCTGGGAAGTTTTTGTTGTCATTAATTTCTGTGCCCCTTCTACCCTGCCAGGCTTTGTAAGGACCAGGATGTACTACAATCTCAGATGAGACACAGGAAACCAAGAACCTCAGACAGGTTCACAAGATTTTTTGCCCACATCTGTGCATTCAGGAGGCTTAGATGAATTCCTCCACAGTGCACTCTCACTGGTATATGATGGACATGTTTGGCCTTGAAGCTTCTATGAACCCGAGCTCCAGTCCTTGGGAGGTTCATTCAGCATGCTGTTAGACACAATGGGCATGTCTATGCCAGGCTGGGAAGTGCGGGGGAGAGTTGCCATGAAAACAAGCCCCGCCCACTCAGTGTTCCATGTACAAAAAGCATCAGGAAGTGGCTGGCTAGATGGATGAGACCCCTGCTTGTTTTTATGGAAGGGCTCACTAGCACTGCCCAGGATGGCAAGGCACAACCCAAACACTTCTCAGTAACCCTGACAAGCAGTGGCCACCCAACCCCTAACAATGACAGACATATTCCCTGGTCCAGGGGTTGTCAACTGGGGATACGCGTACCCCTGGGGGTACTTCAAAAGGTCTCAGGTGTATGCAGGGGAAGGCAGGGATGGAGCACCGCCCCCCATGCCACCACCTCACAGGAGCAGCCCGGGACAGGGTGAGAGCAGGGTTGCACAGACGCTGCACTGCTGCTACTTGCCATGTCCCCACTCTACATCCGGCTGCTCACCACCCCCACGCCCCCAACGTCTGGCCACTCACAACTCCTGCCCCAGGGGTACATTTATTAAAAAGGGGTCTGCCGGGGCTACACTTATTTAAAAAGGTTGAAAACCTCTGCCCTGGTCAATCCACACCTCTGGAGTCTAGTCCTTACTTTCTCCATTTTTTTTCACTAAGATACTGTAACTACATTTCCATAGAGAGAAAATAGAAAGTAATTTGGATGGGTTTACCACAATGGGATTAAAGTTTATGGCATTTACTAAGGAGTCTGAAATCATTGCAAGACTTTTGGAAGTCCTTCCTGCATGGCCTTCAGTCCTGAAAGGCTAGTGGGATGATTACAAATTCACAATTAATATTGTGCAAAGGAATTAGATATAGTACTTCAAACTCAAAAAACTAGTGCTCTCCCAGGAGGGAGACAATGGCTAATAGGAACAATGCCCAGGGACCAGCGATGCAGGATATTCTCCATCTCTTTCTGTTGGTCATGATAAAAATAAATGCACAATGACACAGGTGTCAAATGGACAAATCTGCCCAGCAGGGGTTGGGAGTTTTGCAGGGAATATTTTTTAAAAAGAGTAAGATTTTGTGGAACTAAACTATTTTTTAAATAAAACAACAAAGCCATAGGGGAGAAACCAGCATGTCAAAAGAACATCATGTGCATCAGTACTGATCATACTTTGAGTGACTGCACAGCTAAGTCAAAAGGGAGATTGGGGCAACCGCTCAGATTGGGTGCAACATTAAATCTGTAAAATAGATTTCATGCAGAAACTGTTCCACCTCCACTTGGGTTTAAAATAAACATAGCACTCTATTAGGAACAGTCCACGTAAAAGAGGCCATTCATGATGCTAAATAGGGGTGTGTGAAACAGGCCATATTTGATTCAGATTCAGCCCAAATCGGGGGACAGTGATTCCATTTGTTGATTCAGATCACTGTCCCAATTCAATTCAGCCAAATCCAAATCTGAAGATTCAATGCTGATTTGGAGAATCAGCGATTTGGCTTGAAATGTTTTTTCTACATACCTTGAGGTACCAGGGGCAGCGCGTGAATGCTGAGATGCTGGGGCAGATGGAGCATCCCACAGAAGTGCAGCCCCCCCACAGTCCTCAGGCTCAGTGATCAGCCACAGTAGGACCCTGGGTGCCCCCTCTCCAACCCAGGAGACACCAGTCGCTGAGCTGGGGGGAGGTCCCCTGCACACTCCCTGGCAGACCTGGAAGTGGACCAGAAGTGCTTCTGGTCCACTTCCGGATCCGCTGCCAACTGTGCTGGGGACCCTTCCACGTTCCCATGGGATGCTCCATCCACCCCACCATCTCAGTATTCACAAGCCACCTGGTACCTTGAGGTACGCAGAAAAAAACATTTAAAGCTGTGTCTGTTCGAATCAGCAAGTCTCTCCGAATCGATTTGAGGGTTCCAATTCAATTTGGAAAGATTAAAGAGTCTCCCGATTTGAATTCGGAGATTCGGCCGCCAAAATTGGGCCGAATTTCCACTGAATCAAATCAGCAACTGAAACTTCACACAGCCCTGATGCTAAGTGCTCAATCCCCAGGTCAACAAAGCACCTAAGTAACCACTAACTTAACAGCACTTCATGCCATTGTGGACAGGGATAAATTTAAGTACATGCTTAAGGTTAAGGGTGGACCTCAGTGCTTTGCTGAATCAGGACTTTGCTTAGCAACTTCCTCACATCTTCAAAGCACAATCCAAACATTGCCTAATTGATCTAATGGATGCTGCCTACCTTTGATCCCCACATTGCATGCAGTTGGAGGCCCAGATACAAGTAATTTTACAGCTCTGTCATCATGCCAGAGGGTGAGAGTGGGGGAGAGGAAGGATTGCAATATTAGTCTGGGTATGCACTGAGTTCAATTTTTCTTGTTAGAATAAAAGACTATGGGTGGGATTTGCAATAACTTATCTCTGCTCCCTCTAATGTTAGTTAACCTCAGAATTTTTAATTAACAAAAAATTTGCTTGATAAATAAAAGATTTTTTCCAGCTTCCTCCCCTTTCCTTTCAGGTGGGAGTTAATGAACTGCATGAGCAAAGGACAGTGTTTTAGCAAAACAGACAGACAGATATCTGGTATCATTCCAAACAAAACAGCACATCAGCAATGATACAGCTAAATGCAAATGGACAGTCATGAATGTAGAGGTGATTCTCCCAAGTCAGCAATAAAGTGGAGGGAAAAAAACCCAACAAACTGGACAAATACCACCCCTCCTGGAAAGGAGATTACACGACTCATCTCACAAAGGATGCTGAAAAGGCTATAAAGCAGTGAAGGACAAGGCCTACTCAAAGGCCTTTTAAAGTCAATGGAAAGACTTCCACAGGGTTTGGACCAGGCCCTACAACTTCATCTATGGTAGAACTTTTCCCTCTACTTTTACATGTGACCTTGGAACAGCAGCTGCTGGCAATGTCATTGCAATGTTGTATAGTCCTGCTCTGAGCAGGGATTACATCAATGGGGCTCAGCCTATGGCGTATGGGCCAAAACCAGTCTCTGAAGTGACTGAACACAGCTCACAGCACAAGGCGATCAGTGACAAGGAGCTTGGCCCAGAGTTTTCCCTTCCCTGTGGCCTTTCCTGCACTCTCTCCTCTAAGACAGGGACATACACTGCTTATTCCCTCCCTCCTTTCTCTCTTCTCTGCTCCCCTACGACAGGTGCTTTCTCCCCACTCCTACCCTCTCCCCATCCCTCTCACATTGGCAGCCATCTCCCATCCTTCCTCCCTCCCCCACAAGAGGGAAGTGGTGGCCTGCAGCGAGGGTGCAAATGGGTCACAAGCATCCAGCTGGCACTCTAAAAGACTGATGCACTGGATTAAATCATGCACTGTCTAGGGGCCATGAGGAGACTTGCCTGCACTAATTTCCCCTGCTGCCATTGCCAGTGGTTATCAGGAAGAGAGGGAAATCTAGGGGAAACAAATCCTAGAGCAGACATGTTAGTAGGTTACAAATAAAACCTAAGGGCATTGTTCTGAGGCCTGTCGGGGCTCAGTTCTCAGTCAGTGCACAGCTTCTTCTATGGCTGTCTTCCTTCTGCTGAAGTGAACAACTCCCTTGCACGAGATTCCATTCACACACAAAGGTGCGTCCCCACTCCCAGACTGGGACGTATTGGACGGATCTGAATTTACCTTAAGGAGAAACTGGCTCATCCCATGAGGCAGATTAGAGGTAAATACTGAAATCTGACTTGTTGAAGAGGAGGAAAGGTCCCAGGTCACATGGAAAGTCAGTAGCAGAGCCAGGACTGGAAGCCACTCTCCTGAGTCCTACCCCAGGGCCTTTGCTGCTCATCCAAATCCATTAGCAGCTCCTGATGTTTTTGGTAAAACAGCCTCCAATTCCTACCTACTCTTCCCCCTTATCTACACTGAGCGTTCACTTTGTTTCTCCCATTGTGCTGTATGTCAGATTGGCTGTGTAAAATGCGATTAAAGCAACAAGATCCAGTCTTCCATGCTGCAACACAGAGCCTATGCTGTGACCTCCTGGCAGGGTTAGTTCACTTGGTTTGGTGAACTCCTGTAGCCTGGCTACAGGCAGGAAATAGAAGAAAAAAACTCAGAGGAGATACTATCTTAAAATGATCATTCTCGTTATCCATTACTCTATGGAGCCCACTTGTCCAATTAGAAGAAACAACAGGGAACCGCTAATTAATAAAAAAGGCCAAATTCTTTGAAATTACTTATTTTTCTATTTTTATTTACATATACACTTTATTAGGATATGAGGACTAGAAATAGGAGTGACTGAATCTCAGTCTGAACCACTCCAGAGTGAAGAAATCTGACATTTGGAATGAAACTGAAGTCAAAACTCTGTCACTGGGGCCTGTTTTTAGAACGAGCCCCACTGAAACTCCAAACGGGAAAATACTGGGGATGAACAAGCAGGGTCAAAAATCAAGACAGAAGCCAGAATCTGAATTCTGTGGCTCAGCTTCACCTCTAAAAAGTACATTTAGCAAAAAACAAAAACAAAACAAAAAACCCAACCAAAACAGGAGGCCAAAGTTTCCAAAAGCATGCTATGTTGGTGCTTGCAATTCTACTTTTGCAAATATGGTCTCCAAAAGCTACTCAAGCTCAGAGGACAGACTGAACTTGTGATAAAGTACAATTGTCTGATGCTGATAAGGCATAATTTTAATTTGATCCTGAATACAATATCATAGCTGTCAGAGCACAGGAAATAAATACTTGGGCTAGGTTTTTAACTCTGTGAAAGGGCAGTGAAGTCATCATGATACAAAACTAATTAAAATAGAACAAGATTCAGAACTTAGTCTGAAAATATATCCTAAGGGTCAGCATTTTATTTTTGTTCTTTTCAGCATTCACCCAAGACAAGTGTCCTCCAGGACTATGTGAATTAAGCATCAGGAATAAACACAAACCTACAGGGATTTTTCTACAGTAAGTAGAGACAAATGAACCAGTGTCCCTCAGCACTTTGAACCTATTTCTGAAGAGATGGAGGATGGATTTGGGAAGTTGTGGCCTAATCTCTAAAGGACTCTCTCTGTCCTGACTTTTGCTTGACTTCAGGCTAACACAGCTAACTACTTATCTCTAGTTAATGGAAGTTTGTGATTGTTCCTGGGTGATGGAAGACACAAAACTGAGGGAAGGAAAGTGTTCATGCACAACTCCACAGATCACCCTAAAAGAGCAGCCGATTGCTTAAACAATTAAAATTACATTAATTTAAACGATTTAAACAATTAAATTAAATTAAACAATTTAAAATGGCAACAGTGTTCCAGATTCACCCTCTATCTGAAAATTCTTGATCTAATTTTGCTGGGTCAAAACCAATATTGTTTTCCAATACACAGCACTACAAACTCAGCCTAATCCCTGCAAGTTATTTCTCCTTCTTATACTGCCACTTAGCGGATCTTGGCTGAAAGTACTCAAGGTGTATAAATTAGGGCTGCGTGAAGCTTTGGTCCCCGATTCAATTCGGTGAGATTCGGCCCGATTCGGTGGCCGAATCTTCAAATTCAAATCGAATCAAAGGACCCTTTAATATCTCCAAATAGAATCAGAACCCTCTGAATCGATTCAGAAAAATTCAGCAATTTGGACATAGAGACAGCTTTAAATGTTTTTTCTACATACCTCCAGGTAGCAGGGGCTTGTGAGTGTTGCAATGGTGGGGCACATGGAGTGAACCACCAGAGCACGGGCAGAAAGGAGTCCCCAGCACACACCGCAGCAGACCCAGAAGTGGACCAGAAGCACCTCTGGTCCAATTCTGGGTCTGCTGGGGAGAGTGCATGTCAGGGCCCCCCCATGCACCCCCTTCCCCCGGCTCAAACTGGTGCCTCCTGGGTCTGGGGGGGCATCCAGGGTCTCCCTGCAGCTGATCACCGAGCTGGGGGTCGTGGGCCACCCCCACAATACACTCCCTGGTGGACCCAAAAGTTCACCAGGGAGTGCGCTGGGGAGCCCCCCGTGCTCCTGTGGTATGCTCCATCCGCCTCAGCATTGCAGCATTCACGAGTTCTGCCTGGTACCTCGAGGAATGTAGAAAAAACATTTAAAGCTGTGTCTATGTCCGAATGGCCGATTCTCTGAATCAGCACTGAATCTTCAGATTTGGATCTGTCCGAATCGAATTGGGGACAGCGAGCCAAATCAACTAATCAAATCACTGTCCCTGATTTGGGCCGAATCTAAATCTGAATCGAATAGGGCCTGGTTCGCACACCCCTAGTATAAATAGCCTAGATGACTGACTTCAGTCCTGGGCCAGTGTCAGCAGTGAGGTGCTGTCAGCTATTACATCATACATCAATGCTTATTCTTTTTGTAACGCTCAAAGCTTCATGGGAGAGGGTGTGCTCTAAATTCCAAAGAAACCAATGAAAAGCTGTGGATGCACATTAGCATCTATGCCAGAAAAAACTCTCCCCTCACTACACAAAATCTCCAAATTTCTCGTGTGCTGCCCTACAGATTTGGGTCAGATTCTAAACTCTTCATCCAAACGTGCACAAAGGCCATTCCCCAAACTTGAAGCTACCTCCACGCTAAATTATGATCCAATATTTGCAGCTTTCTAATAAGCCGAATCAAAACTCCAGATCCTAAAAAGCCCCAAACTTTGGGGCATCCAAGCCTGAGCTCTCAACTCTGAAGCTCTTAGTAATGAGAATGCTGATCTTGCTGGTGGCTGAACACGTGCAGCTCCCAGTAAAGTTAATGGAAGCTTCAGGTATTCAAGACCATGTCCTCTTAGCATTTGGAAGTGCCACATATGACCTCAGTTAGTACTTTAAACGCATATAGTGCTACGTCTCCAACTGGCATCAATTGGTATAACACCAGTTTTTTTAAACACAGCTATGCTGATTTACTGCTGTTGAGGATTCTCCCCGCCTCCCTGTAAACCCTTGCCCTTCTCTGTTGCCTGGGACTTGAAATAAATAATACTCATGCTCTATGAAACCCAGTGGATGCACACCACCTGTGGAATCAACATATGGAGACAGATAAACAACAAACCAATGACAATAGCATGGAAACATCCAAAAGCAGGAGAAAAATTATCAGCAACAATGGTTACCTGTGGCTTATTGACCTTGCGTGCAAGTCTGGGAGGTGGTTGTGTTGGGACAGCAGAGGAAGAGAGGGCAGAGGAAGAGAGAGAAGCAGACGAAGAGAATGCGTTTGTGTCAGCAGTCTTTTAAAGGAAAGAAAAGTTGGTCAGCTACACAAGTGATCTCCTTTCAGAGCCGTTGCTACCGTCTCTTGTAACACCATCCATTATATAGGGCTAAACAGGGTGCAGACACTGCAAACTTAATGAACTCCATGCAAGGACAGATGCATCTTCCTAGCTTAGCATTCTGTGTTCACTGCTCGAGTGCATCTTAAACATGCAGAAAGTTAAGTCTACAAACCAGCCACTGAAAATATGGACAGATAATAGTATAATTTTGTGATACTTTGGGTACAAACTGGTTTAGTTTCATATCAGTCAATTTCATATTAATCATCATACAATTTTGTAGCATGACAGTCCTCCAACCCTGCCTTTTTTAATATTGGCCTAGATGTTATCCTCCACCAATCACTGCACTGTAGAAAGAGTGGGGGAATAAGTCTGGTTACAGAGCTGGTTATAATGCCCTGATTCTAAAGCCACTTTGACCCCTGACCTGGGACAGAGTGAGAGGGAGTGAGCATATGCTGCTAACTTACTCTAGTTGGCTATCAGCTCCATGAAACCACTGACACAGCTGAGGGAAGGCAAAGCAGAGCGCATTGCCTCTGTCAAAATGGGCAACTGGGGTAAAAGCCAGCTACTCCATCTCATACCCTTCTGACCCTTAATCTATGAATCTATACCATCTGAGAGCTCCACAGAGGCTCTAATCTCAATGCAGAGGACAGATCGCTCTTCAGCCAGAAATACTATTTTAAAGAAATAACTGAATCACTCTTGGGAGTGAACAGTGCTCAGTGGGAGTCTGATTTGCACTGAGGTCATCTCACAGCAGTCTGGCACTAAAGCTGTTTGACAGTGGGTGAAACTGTTTACATAGTAAAAATAAGAACCAGGCCCGTTGATTTTGCACTGGTTGTACAAACTCGAATTAAAATCAGTTTAAGGTTTTCACAAACCTCAAACTCCATTAGGTTCACTCATCCTTTATTTTTCATGGATGAGAGCAGCATCTGCTATTACAAATGCTAGGACCCTGAATCCCCATTCTTCAGGGCCTGATCACCAACTGGGGACAGGAAGGAACTGCCATATTCCATAGGATTTTACAGTGAGGTTAACTGCATGCAGACAGGACTTCTTCAGCTCATCTGGTAATGGACATGCTTCCATGCCAGCTCCTTACTAGGTGAGGTTGGGTCATGTGGACAGAGAAGTCCCATGCCTTTTATTGTGCTAAAATACATCTTCCTAGATCATCCCTAAACCTATTTCTAGGACTTTTCTACCCAATGTTTTCTGGAGATACTACTCCTACCTGCCACAGTCAAGCTATGGGAGATGCTCTCAGGGTCCAGAAAGGAGCAATGATCACTACTAGCTCTGACTAGCTGAACAGGAATTTGAGTGCACACACACGCACACAAAGGTAGGGTTTCAAAGCAGCACACACATGCAACATAAGTACCTTTTTTACCCCGCTTTGCATCTCTTTCATTTCACCACCTTTCCTCACACTTCTTTTCTCAGTGTTATTTCCCTGTACAATAGCCATTAGATCCTGACATGACTGGCTCTCCTCAAAGGAACCAGGGGGCCTCTTCTCAGGGCTCATGAACATATCTAACTCTGAGGGTTTCAGACACCCCTGAAGAGAGGTTTCAGGAGGGACACTGGAGCGTCTGTCTGGCTCCTTCTGTTCCTTCCTTTCACTGCTGCTGAAGCCTTCTCTATTCTTTTGCAGCTTGGCTTGGATGCCAATGACATCACTGAGCTCCGAGAGGAAACTATTGGGGCTCCCAACAGTGGCACTAGGGTAGTTACAGTTACACGTGTTCGGAGAAGGGGAGCCAACAAATTTTTCTTCACTTTGCGGAGTGGCATGATTGAAGCTGCGAGCAGAAGACTGTGGTCTGGACGGGTAAGATGGCAATGGAGATATGATGGACCTGGGAGTTGAGGAGCCGGAGAGATTAGAATGGTGAAGGCTGACTGAGGGGGAAGGGCTGGACAAAGCAGAAGGAGTGCGACAGCCAATGTGACTGAGGCAGGCTTCAGGCAGAGGAGGCAATGGAGGGGTTATGGCAGGAGTGCTGCTAGGAGACACTCCTATGGTCAGGGAAATCCACTCGGATGTGACTGCCTGCACCTCTGGAGACAGGGCGTGGCGTGGGAAAGGCAAAGGCGGAGGAGTTGGTGTGTGCAGCAGCTCAGAGCTGTGAAACTTGAAGGAAACAAAAGAAGAGAAGGAAGAAATAAGCAAAATAAAAACAAACATAAGAAACATACAAAACGATCAACTGAAACTGAAATGGGGAGAGAGCAGAGAAAAGCAGTCTCATGACAGTGCACAGATGGTAAGCTGTCAGCAGGGGCTCCATCCTGTGGGTGAAGCCCTCACTGGCACTTCTTTCTCAGTGTTTGGCATCACAGAGAACAGGATCCATGACTACAGCAGCTAGGATGAAGTTTACAACCCCCATTCTTCAGGGCATAAGCTGATCACAAAGGGTCAGAGGGAAATGCCCATGTTCCAGGGGATTGTACTATACAGTTCCTGAGGGTTTTGGCTGGCATTACTGAGGCTGCTGGAGAAGAAAGGAACTGTTCAGAGGGAGCAAGTGTCGTGGGACTTGGCCTTCTGATTTTAAAGTAAGCTCTGTGTTTACAAAGGTGCCACACTGAATTCTGCCCCTGGCTGCTTCTGCAGCACTACCCTCATATTCAGCTGCAGCAGCAGTCAGGGGCACATCACAGCCTGTGCCCCAGTTACACATGCAGATCTGCCGTGCTGTGCAGAAAGCACAGACAGCTATGGGAGGAACAATGTCTTTCATCCACAAAATTAAAAGGAGAAAAAAGGCAATTACAGGCCTACCAAACCAAGGGAAGAGTTTGCAGGAAGCTGGGGGGAAACATGCTTCCTGGCACAAAGGGAGCAACAAGCCTGAATACCGTAAAGCTTTGCTTTGTTATAGACAACCCCAGGCAAGCAAACGGGGCCTGCTCTTCCCTCAGCGCCAGGAACAAAACGATGCCCCAGCGAGAGCCAAAGGAACACAGGGAGAGAGGTACCAACCAGTCCTGACATTTCCACTCATACCCCTCTCATTCTGTGCCACATGCCCCATCTCCCTGGTGTTCTTCTTCCAATTTCCTTCACAATCTAATCTCCTCGTACAATCTTCCTCCCCCTTTTGCCCAGGATCCAGACCTCGATCCTGGTAAATAACTGGTCTTGTGCTAAATTTGGCAGGATCAGTGCTAATAAATTAAAGACTGAGAGCCTTGGAGCCTCTGCTGCATTGTGGATTCCCAGAAAAAATGGGGAAAAGCTCATTCCCAAACTACCGCCTGCTCCCATTTTTGTTATTTTGATTTTCTTCTTTTTGGATGGAGTTTAGACATAGTTTAAAATGGCCAGTCTCAGGGACTTGAGTCCTCCATTTAACTGCTAAACACACACAGCATGGACAGCAGGAGTGCAACTCTCCTGAATGCTGCCCTGGCCAGCTGCCTCAACCCTTGGCTGGCACTGCTACCTGCAAGAATAAGGCAGAGCAGTGGTTCTCAACCAGGGTGCCACAAGAACCTGCCAGAGGTGCTGCAATACTGGCACCACCCCTGTCACAGGGTGATGCTGCCTTGCACATCTCTGGTTTCAGGAGGCATATTGGGCCTGCACATAGAAGCATCTGCAGCACAGGCTTGCCTGTTTGCACTACATTAAGGTGGCAGCTTGCTGCTTCTGCTGTGGCTCTTCCTAGTTCAGCTCCAATGCGTCTCATGACAATGGAGGTGTCCTACCTGGTGGCTGTGGCCTGTTGTACCTGATGGCAGTGGCCTCTGTCTGCAGGGCTGCTGCTCATGTAGATTGAAACTGCCTTGCATGCCCCACTTTTCAGAGAGACACCATGCAGGGTTGGACCAGGAAGGGCTGTGCAAGGACCATGTGCTTCTGCCATAGCTACTTCCCAATTTGGCTCTGCAGGAGGTGTGATGCAGTTCCATCTGGCTATGGTGGCAGTGGTGGGGACCGTACTGAGGCACCCCCATGACCTTTCCTTCCTGTCTCCTGGTCCTCATATGTCGTTTTGCCCATCCCTTACTGGAGTTCAGATGGGGGTGCCCTGGGAAGCTAAAGGAACTTGGCTCAGTGGTTTCCAATCCACACCAGTGGCCTGGAACCATCCATGTCTGGGGAGTACTCTGCTGCACTGTTGAGCTGAGCCCGGCAGAGCTAGGGAAATACTCCCCACCAGCAGCTTGAAAGAGTGGATTTAATTAGAATTACCTAGTCAGTTATTAGCACATTAATTAATAATCAAATTATAACATTTTTTATGATCATATTCATAACATTTATCATTGCTTTTTAAATGGGGTGCCACTAAATTCTGAAATGTTTTAGAGGGGTGCCTGGAGTCCAAAAAGGTTGAGAACCACTGGTGAAGAGTTTAATCCAAAGCTGACCACAGTCACTGGAAAGGCTTCCCCTGCAAATTCCCTCTGGTCACAAAGAATGCCCATCACTGTGGCATTTTGTGCACGGCAGACCATCATCTACTGGAACTGGAACTTGGTTACCAACTCATCCTCCTCTATGGCACTGAAATTTATGCAGATGGTCCCAGCTTTAAGTACCTTCCCATTGGGCCTGGATTCAAGCTAGTGATCAGAAGCAAAAAGTTGCCACTAATTCCACCAACTAAACAGTTATGTTCTTTTCTGATTAGTGAAGCATAAACTCTTCATCTCAGCTCTCTCTGGGCAGGTATAACAGGACAGAAACATATTGCATGGAACTACTTCACAATACACTCTTGCTTTAGCTAGGGGCTAATACAGATATTCTTTCCTACACAGAAATGGGAACATCCTACTGTTCTGTCGGCTGCATCTAAGTCCACATACCTGAGGGGATGCTGTCATACTGCGATTAGGGGAGTGGGACATCAGTGGGTCAGCATAGTCAACGGCATTCTTCACCACTGGACGTTTGAGCACTTCCACATACGTGACAGGAAAGATGCCTTGGCGACCAGTGCCAGAAATTTTTCCTTCATACCAGTTCTCATCAACTCGTCGAATCAATGTGATCTTTTCTCCCTGCAGGGATGAATGATTACTCAGTACTGATGTTAACCTGTGCTGTAATTCCAGAGGGGCTTTTTTGTTTTGTTTTTAAAGAAAATTGTTGTGTTTCAAGCCAAATCAAGTCCAAATTCATGAGTCAGTCCAAAACCATAAGTGGCCCTACAACCGGTAAACATCCTCCACCCCAACCAGGGGCTTCATATATTTACAACATTTGAATATTTGCGTTGGTAACTGCTGTAATTCCAGAGTAAGAAGCTACTTCCTTTACTGCAGGTGAAGCAAAGCTACCTGCAGCCTATGGCCCTGCAACCCTTGTTATGGCTCTGTCTCTTCTAGCTATGATAAAGTGTTTGCATTTCAATGATAGAAGATCATACCTTCTGAAACTAGTTCAGGCCATCTCCAAACTCAGGGAAGGCCCAGTTATACGCTGCTTATGTTTTCAAGGCTCTCTGCATCCATGAAACTAGAACTATTTCTTTCAAATGAAAGTCATGGTTCTAATCTCACTGTGGGACTCGAGGACCTTGGGAGCTACACACAGGTCTGCACTGCTTGCATCTTAAGCTAGGCCTCTCTATTATTCCATTTTCCCTTCTGTTATGCAGTCAAATGAATGAGACTGACTTTTGAAGGCTGAGTACAAACAGTAAACTCCAACTCTGATGCACAGTGAAGAATAAAATGGGAGATACAGAATTTTAATATCTATAAACTCTGCAAGCATCCACCTCATTTAAGATGAAGTTCTGCTCTTCAAGGTACTTAAATAGATTTAAGTGACTATGGAAATGCAGTCAGAGTCCTTGTGTAATCACTTCAGCATCATGGGCTATTAGTTCACTCCTGTTGGCCAATTTGGCTCTGCTGTTCTCTGGGTGAAGGGCTGGCTTTAATTCTTTCCAGATGTCACAGCAAAAGGAGATTAGCATTGCCCAGGGCACACCCACTCTTACACCAATGAAGAGAACGGGCTAGAGAGGCATCAGTAAAGATATCAATTGTCCTGAAGAACCAGGCCTCCCCATCACTGCATCCACTGTAGCTCATCAACCAACTTCTGAGTAAAGATGGCCTATTCACAAAATACTTATTATGCTGTAACATGATGGGTACTAACTAAAAGCCCAGAAGACTAAATTCGGATTTTATTTGTGGTATTTTTTGCTAATATGTATATAAATGTTAATTTTAACTAATTAGCTAATTTTAACGAGACACCTCCTTGGCAATTATACACCTTCTTGCTGGTTTAGATGCATGGATACATCTGTCATCATAAAGCAGTTCCTACCTTTCTGAATGACATTTCTACTTGAGTATCTCCATTGAAGTTAAATTTAGCAACAGCATCTCCATATTCTAATACTTGTAATGGTGACATCTTTTTCGGCTGGGCTTTTTCAGCTGGTGGGAGTAACTGAATAAACAAACAGACAAAAGCAAAAGTAGCACTAATGAGCTTAAAAAGGTATCACTTTAAGGAGGCTTTTTGGAAAGACAGCTTTAAAGAGAAGATACGTACCTCTATGTATGACCGTGGGAAGATGCCAACTCTGCCATGGTGTTCTCCTTCATACCAGTTCTGGTCAATCTGCTTGTATATGTAAACTATATCTCCTTTCTGCAGCGGAAGTTCCCTGTTAAAAATGCACTGGTTACAGCTGAATTATGTATCACATTAGCAAACGAAGAACAATGAATTTGATTGGAGAAGAGAGGGGATAAGTATGTAAAGTGGTAAAGCGCTAACTCATATGCAGGGTGGGCATCTTACAGTTACCAAGAGATCTCCATTCATCCTTTGGGGAGAGGTATAGTTGGTAACCATCCATTCCTTAGAGAGAAAGCTATACAATGGTAGATGCTATTTGATAGTGCTCCCCACGAGGTGTAAGGGCTTACTTGCTGTTTCACTGCACCATAGCAAAACTGCGGGGGGGTGGGGGGGGGAAGGCTCTTAAAAAACAAGCAGGTTCAAGGCTACCTTGAGCATGTTCCTCTTTAGAAGCCACAGAAAGGAAAGGGAGCAAATCGAAGGAATCCAAGCCACAGGTTGCTGCTCACCCTGCATATGATGGGTGCAGCACTCACCCCCCTGACTTGGAACTGGTTCTTTTCCCCTATGCAGTTGTTCATTACAAAAGGAAATAACTAGCCCCAAGGTGTTAAAAGGAAGCTAATTTGCTATTAATGGAAATGACCATCTGCAAATTGGGATTGTACTGGATTCCATGATGTTCATGGCTGGTCAACTCTTAGAAATAAGGGAACAAAAGTGCGATTTGAACCTGCACCTTCTGAGCTAAAAGCATGAACCATTCCAGCACGAGCAAAAGGATTAATTTGCATTATTAGGAACTAGAGTAGGCTCATCAACCTACTAAAGGGGCCAGTCACTGGAAGAGGCAAAGGCCCAAACTTTCCCAGTACAGATTCTACAAGCTCCTTTTCAATTTGATCTGTGTGGTCCTCCAAGAGCTACTCCCAGGACATCAAGAGGATGCTGATCTGCAGTCCTCACTAGTCCTGGGGTGATGTTATGTATACTGTCAGAAGCCAACAAACACAGGTCATCCAGTTTCTCTCAGAGGTGTCTGAGAAAAGCAACAGGAACTCCTTCTCAGGGGGCCTGCTTTCCCTTCCTCTTTCAAGGCTTTCATCAGCAATGATCAGAAAGAAGATCTACGCACACAGCCCAGCAATGAAAATAACTGCAGTCCCATGCAAAGAAAAAAGGCCTTACGGACAATTAATACACTGTTGTGTTTGAAAAATGACCAGACCTTAGAAAGCCCTCAGAACCATCCTTTAGTGACAGTGGAGTCATCACAGGGAAAGACACTTACAATGCCAAAGATCTCCCAAACATAAAAAGATGTGGGACATAGTAGCAGAGGTGAAAAAGCATTTTCTGCACACTAGGCAGCTGTGATGGCCGGGCCAGTAGCAGGGTTGGAAGTGGTGGCAGCTGCCATTCTTGTGTTCTCTCAAATCTGGCACTCGGGGCTGGTGCCCCATTTGCCCATCCTTAGTTATGCTACTGTGTAGTAGAAAAATCCCACCACCATCTCTGTATACTCCACATGGGGATTAAGTTTCCAACTGAGTTCTTTCTGCCTCTTAAACTTCAAAAGTAATTTTAAAAAGGCATATAGCACTGAGGATGCAGCTGGCAGTCCTGTTAACAGTGCGCAAGGTGAAAGACAACACTTCCAGAGTTGTATCAGACCCTGGTATCAGCCAGCAAGAGTGCATACTTATTTCTTTCAGTGTCCCAAGTGGATTACCCTCAGAGGTATGGGAACAGATGCTCAGAATAAGAAGATACCATTTGCATGAAGGCACTTTGCTGACTATAAACTAAAGATTCTCTATTGACTGATCAAGCTTTTCACTGACTGTGCAGGGTTTGCTTTGAACTCTTGCATGGAAAGATATTCCAAACTATGAATTAGACACTACTAAATTTCAAAAATATTGCACTATATTTAGAAAAAGCTGTGAAGGAAAGAAAGAAGCTATCATCTCCATGTATACTCACTTTAATGTCTGTGCTTTAAAGTCAAACTTGGCTCTAGCAGGTCTCATCTACAGATCAAAAACAACAAAATAAAGATGATAATTACATCCTTCAACACCCTTCTGAAAGTTATTTGGGAATGCACCCCAGCTGCAGCAAGGACTAACACCTACTGGGGGCTGAAACTAGCAGTTCTAAATTCAGATATTCTGTTACGTATATGCTTGGATCTCACCCCAATGTTCAGTTCTGATGTATGGCTCTTAAGAAACTTCTCCCTTGATACTTAAATAAGTGCCACTCTCTTGTATAAATGTCACCAATGCCATGTACAGGAAGGCAGGGGGCAGTATAAGAACAGTAAACATTTAAACATGAGACATGGGCACGGACAGACGACATGTTTACAGCAGTGGAATTGGCCTGTACACCATGTAAAATAAGGAGTGAGCATACAGCAGCGCAACCCTGCACCCAAGTAACTTATTCTACTACGCTGAAACCCAGAGAAAACCAAAGGTAACATTCCACCAGTGTAAGTTATACCAGTGCACATGTCACCCATGTACAATGGCCACCTTCCATGTGCCACTACTCTGGAATAGTTACAGAATGTCCACCCTGGATCCTGGTGTAACTTATTTCGCTCTGCACCACTAATGTAAGTTACCCTGGTATAAATGTGTCATATGGCCATGCCCCATGTCAAAACTGGTGACTGCCTTGGTAACTGCTAAGAGCCTATGGATTTAGGTCCAAATTTTCCTCAGATCCACATGCAGTTAAAGGCAGGATTTCATGGCAAGAGAAAAGCAATGGAATTGTACTCATGTGGCACTTTTAAATTTTTAATCCTCCCCCCACTAGGGCAAATCTTTGAACACTTAAGCTATGATCCAAGTACTATGGTTGCCACTGGATTGATTAGTGGGAAAGAGACAAAGGCAAGGAGGTATTAAAAATGAGTACACATCTGAAATGTCTCAAGTAGCGATGAAGGCAGACAAGACATTTAAGAGCTTATGTATGAATAGCATCCAGGATATGACTTAGTTGGTCATAAATTATTCTGATGATCTATGACTTGGGTAATAAAATAATAAAAAACCATAAGCAATTTTCAATAGAAATAATAATCAGAGTAAGTAATATTTACACTCACCCAGCACCTTTTTTTGCCAAATTTTCCCAAAGCATATTACAAATAAAAGAGCTGATTTCAGATCTCATTTACACCCATACCACAGAGGGCAAAAGTTAATTCTGCTTGCATACAGGAATCATCTCTGTTATGCCTGCAGTGCAGCCACCTCTGGGGTGCAACATGGCAACTGCTGGACACCACACAGCAACAATACACTGTGGGCTCAAGGAAAGAAATGGAATTTGGCTAGAAAACCTCACCTAACACCAAATTCTTGTGAAAAGTGCCATGGGACCCTCAAAAAGTGTCTCCTCCTTTGTCTCTTTTAGAAGAACCAAATCATGTAGTGTTTAAAGAGACTTGCTGGGATTTCTTCCAACTCTTTCTAAAGGCATTAAGAGTCTTTCAAAGACAGAATGACATACTGTAGCACTAAGTCTATAAGGCAGTCAGGATCAATGATATGGAATTTCTACGCATAAGGCACAGACAGGAAAAGCCAATGTAGCAATACGTAGCAAAGGATGTAGAAATGCCTTTGATTCACTAAAAGTGGCTGATATATAAATGCATGCATCACAGATGTGCACCAGCAATTCTCAGTAGACATGCTTTAACATAGACAGCTTGGTATAGAGATACCAATTAATTCACCAGGCACAAGAGTCAAAGCAATTCTAAATGAAGCCAGAATGGAAGGGAAAAAAAAATGCATTCTCTGGAGAGCTAATGTCGGCCTCAAGCGCAACACCGTGAGAGGCAAATATTGCTTTGGGTCAAGCAGCAGACTGAGGTAACTAAAACAGACCTCTGACCCAGATTTCCTCTTTGCTGTATCGTCTACATTTAGAAGGTCCCCAAATCGCTCATTAGTGATAAACTGATGGTGCGTTGGAATAACCCCCGTGTGCCTTCTAGCTGCAATATCAGCTTCTTCTTGCTCACGTTTAAGTCGTCTCTGGTCCTCTAAAAGTTTCTGCCATAAAATTGCATAAAATGGGCAGTAAATCATGTAGTTTAGGGCATTTGGCAACTCCTAGCAAAAATTACTTCAATAAAGAGCTTACACAGGTACCGGCATAAAGATATAGTTTTAAGTTGGAAACAGACATCACCTTTTGTCGCCTTTGTGTCACCATAATAAATTTAATGGCAGCAGAAAGGCCAAGCAAACCAATGCCCATAACCCTCATCAAGTCACAAACAGTGGCTTGACAAAGATGATATCAATTTGTGTCACTATTTAGTGACAGATGTCTACTTACTTTATGGTGTGAGAGTGCAGGCAGCCCAGAGCATCTCTCTAAGCAGGAAAAGCTGGGCAGGTGCTTCAAGGACCTGGGGGCCCAATCCTGCACACTCCAGGAATTCCTGTGCAGGACTGGCCCCCTCCAGCCCTGGGAGCACCTGCCCAGCTTTCTCTGTTTAGAGAGATGCACCCATGGGATCCTTGTGGCATGCCTCAGTAAACAGAAAAGTTGGGGTTTCCCACCCTACATGTACCAGAGATCCTAGGGGTGCATCTTGGAAGGTAGAGGAAGCCAGGCAGGTGCTCCCAGGGCTTGAGGGGTCCAATCCTGCATGGGAACTCCAAGGGTGTGCAGGACCAGGCCCCGCCAAGGACAACACGCTGCCCATTGTCCCACGTCATCAAGAGCTAGGACAATAGGCAACATGCATTTTGCCCAATGAAGCAGGACACACCCCAGAACAGCTGACCTGCTTTATTTGGTGACGTCTATTTCTAGCCTTAGAGAAACCCAGAAGATCAAGTCGACTAACTGCACAATAACTTCCCTTTGATTTAGCTGGCGTACATAATACATTTCTATGATTGTATACTTGAAGGCAACTCATTGGTAGAACTTAATGGAGTTGTTTAAAATCGAACAAGCCACTCCACATACCGAGGATAGGATCTGAAGCTCACAGAAGTCAATGGGTCTTTCCATTTTCTTCCATGGACTTCAGGTCACACCTCAAAAATTTCTAAAGGAAGGGGGGATTTTAATTTGCTGGCTTCTCAGACAAGCAAATAGATCATTAATGATAGACAATAACCATTCAGAAAACTAGTAGTTTGCTTCTTTCTTCAATAATGAAATTACCGTGTAGCTCATCTTTGAAAAGACTGTTAGTTTGGCCACATATTAGCCAATGATTTTAACAGGATCTGATAAATTTGGGGACCATCAGTTTAAGACATTACAAGGGACATGGCTTGCAGAACAGCAAGATTCAGCACTTGTAGATAATCAGGGAACTTTAAAGTATCTCAAGATGAGTACTCCAAATAGGAACACCCCCCCCACACACATATATACAATCACTAGTTGCTTCTGAAAACTTCAGTAAACATTATCTTAACTGATTAATGATCAGCTGAGACTTTGCTGATGATATACCTAGCTTACTGATGGACCACTTTCCACTACTGCCAAGTGCACATTCTGAATTATGCCATCCACCTGATAACAGATCTCCAAGTGCTTTGCATACAGAAAAGATCCCTCAGGCCATCCTTGTGTGGCTGGCAAGTATTCTCTCCATTTTATGTAACTGGCAAACTCAGGCACAGAGAGATACAGAAATGCCTGAGACCATACAGTAAGCCAGTGACAGAAGCAGTAATGGAGCTCAGGAGTTTTAGCACCCAAGTCTCTTGTGCTAGCCACTATATAAAACTTCCTTCATATGTGACCATGTGGACACACAGGCAACAGCAGGATAAATGCTGTACTCTCCTCATCTGTAGCTGTTGAAAGCACCGCAAGACCATAAGAAAGGGCTTTACCTCTTTGTCATCATGACGTCGGCGGAGAATTTCTTCTGGAGTTTCCATGTAATCAACTGGTACAAAATGTCTTGGTGATTCTGAATCTACTTCAAAACAACATAAGGTTGTTAAAATACAAATGGACTTCTCTGGCATAACCAGAAAGGAAAAAATGTTTTCAGATAATTTGTTTCCATTGTGGCAATTAGTAATTAGCATTGACCAAATGGTCAATCAAATGAGGATACATTTTTGGATTTTTTTTTTTCCTTTTTGGCTGAACAAAGATTGAAAACAAAGGAGAGTACAAAGGTGGGGAACAGTAAAAAACATACAAGGACTTCATGAAGAAAAGATTTGCTGCCATTGAAATATTCTTTTGCACATTACTGTTGATAAAAATTGTAAACACACATGAATACACACACACCAATACATGCACACATACACACACACAATCTTGAGAAACGGTTCCTTAAAAAAAAAAAGTGGTTTCATGTTATTTTTATATATATATATATATTTATATATATATATAAAAATGCAAATGATATGGGACTCCGGATATCTCACTGCAGGATCCTCGCATCCTAAGAGTTGCCTGAGACACAAATGGAGCCAGATGGTGATCAGAAAGGCAGCAGAAATCATTTCTCAGAAGTGCAGCCCGTTAACGAGTCCTGAACAAAAAAGCTAAGCAAGACACACAAAGGACATCAGACACACTAGAAGGATGAGCATTGGCGGATGCAGAGGTTGAGAGAACAAAAATACAGAGAAAGTAAGCAAAGTAGGAAGACAGATGAAGGGACACTGGTAAAGTTCACAAAAAGCCACCTCCGGGGTATGTCCCAAGTTCACTTTGCAGGTTGTTGTTTGTATCCAAGCTCTGACAGAAAGCAAATGGAACAATGTTCCCATTATTTATGAAGTCTGGTGTAACAGCTTGGACAATGGAGCCATGTCGGCTAAATTCCAGGCTGGGGAAATGGCTAAGCCTTCCCACAACATCAAAGGAAGACAGGCGCTTTGGAGCTAGAGGCCTGTTTTCAGAGCACAGTCCATAGAGAGGGTGGTGGTTCTTGTCTGCTATGCTCCCTCGCAGATGCATGGGGTCATTTTGGTTCTCGGGGCTGTACAGAGATGGGGTCCCTGGGCAATCTAAGGGTGGAGTCTTTCTGGGACTGTGTTGAAAGGGCTTTTTCAATCTGAAGGGAAGTGGGCTCATCAGGTAGACATTTCTGGGTAGCATGTGCCTGTCCCCCTGGACAATGCCTCTGGAATCAGGGGTCTTGAAGGCCTGCTGCTGCTCATGCCTTCGAATGGTGGTGAACCTGGTGTAGGAAGCTGGGCATGATCCTTTGCATTTGTTTATTTTATATTTCTGGGGCCCACTGGTATTGTTGATGCTGCTGCTGCTGTCATTAGATAAATTGGACAGGAGATCCATCTCATCTGTGCAAACTGAGAGCGTATCCATAGGGACAATGTCACTATGATCAGATGGCATGTCCTCCACATTGCTACAGGAGCGAGAGGAGCCGTCAGCCAAGTTGGCAACATCTTTCTCTTTTCGGTTTGGCTTTGGTAACTCCAGGAGGGACTCTGCTGAATACGCGGCACCCAGGCAGCTCTTAGATTGGGGAGGAGTGGGGGATTTGCTTTGTCCACTGGAGAAGTCAAGAGAGGGCATTGACCGGGATCTCTGGATTAGCTGCTCGAAGGCAGTGATGCGGGATGCCACAGTGTGTTTAGGGATCTGCTCCGAATTCTGCCGACCAGGGCTGTGCTCCATCCTGTCCTTTGTTTCATTCTCGAACTGGGAAGCTATGTCCCTCACGCTGCAGGATGAGGCAGTGCCCAGACTGATCCTGGACCGGTTGATTTGATGCATGTTTTTATACAGCATGGTAAACTCTGGGCCACTCTTCCTGGAACTGGGTAAGAGGTACCCTTTCCTAGACTGGGTGCCATACTCTTGCAGGCTCATGGTGCTGCCAGATTTGGTGACATATTCCTGCTTCGATTTCATTAACAGGTTCTCTATGCTTTCCCCTACATCTACCATGAAAGCTTTTTTGATATCAAACAGGGCAAAGGAGCTACGAAGGTTCTCGCAGCTTTGAGCTTTCTCATGAGGTAGCAGGATATTCTTGTCCTGCCCTAGAGCTGTTGGAGCTGCTAGTTTGGGTTTGAATTTGGAAGGGAGAATTTCTGTAATGCAGACTTTTGCAGCTGATAAGGGCTTCTTATGTTTACATGCGTGACCTAACATACCAGTATTACTAGCGTTAAAGGTTCGGCTATTAGTTGAAGAGGGTGCGATCATATGAGCATTCCCACCTTTACGATCCACTGGTAAGCATGCAGAATAAAATAAATAAAACCTGTTAGCTTAAATGCCAGAAAGCTCTTGAGAAAGGAGAGAAAACATGCTTGGATTTCACAAAACACTTTAAAAAACTGCTGTCAAAAATAAAGAGAAGCAGAGAGACAAAGCACAACAAGCTGAACTACTGAAGCAGGTGCAAAGGTACAGATCATGTCTGCAATGCGGCTAAGAGCCACATGCCTGATCCAAGACTGCAGCACTTTAGGGCTGAAACCTGCAAAGTGCTGAGCTTCCATGGGAGTTGCCACCCCATGCACAAGGCAACTCAACTCCTGGCAGGGTCACTGCCTTAGCATTGAGGCAGAGGTACTAATGTTGCAAAAAGCATATTAATGCAAGCCTGGAATGAGACTAACTATGGTCCCCACATAACACCTGCCAAGTACATTATTCTCATCTGGGACAGGCAAGTCAGAGATTGTCTGCATTAAAACAAGTAGGTTATATCCACTGACCCCACCCAAGCACTATCCCACAGTGTCCTTCTCAGGGGCTCTCCTTACTGAGGACCAGCTGAGTGTGCTCTGCTTGGACAGTCTCGTTTGCCTAAAGTGCCTCTTATTATACTGAAAGCAGCTGGAAGACGAAGAGAGACAGACATCTGTGCATGACACACTATTTTGCAGGAGGACTAGTATTTGGAAAGTGAAAGAACCAGTTCTCTCCTGCATACACACACTTCCCAAGCCATTTTTAGCTCAGGGTGAATCCTGTTCTCCTCCCCCTGACCCACAGGCAGGCTTCTGGCCTTTCCCAGTGCTCTGCATGCTCCAAGATGGTGGGAGCCAGTGAGGGGAGGCTCAAAAGGTCCAGCGGTCTCTGCTGGGCTGGCGTCTGTCTTGATACTACATGGACTTCAGGGTGGTTGCTGATTTCAGCAGTGTCCATCGTATTGTGTGGCCCCTTTGAGCCACGTAAGCCCTGGAGTGCATGATGCAGAAATTAAGGAGCTGAAGTGAGACCAGCAGACACCACTAGGCCTGCTGAGACTCCATATAAGGAACAGCAGCAGAGGCTGGGAGACAGAGGTAGAGCATGGGAAGGCAGGGCAGGAGGGTCCACAACACAAGGAACAAAGGAAAGTGGGGGTGGGAGACTCCAAGGTGAGTGTTGAAAAGGGGGAGGTAAGAATATGGGAAAATGACCAGAGGAGTCAGGGTCCTGTTGAAATAAGGGACCTGGGCATCAGAACAAGTGATCAGAGGAAAAAAGATGACAAGGCTGGGTTGGGAAGCGACAGAAAGAAGTGGGGACAGCAGAGCAGGAGACAAAGGAATGACAGATGAGATCTCCTTAGGTTTGGACAATGGCCCAAACCCTCGTGGTGCTCCCCTCTTACCCTCACTGTCACTCAGGTTCTGATTCATTATGTGGAATGGAAGACAAGGGATGAGGCTCTGCTGACCTACCTTTAGTGGAAGCAGAGCTAGACGGGCGCTTGAGACCGCTTAACCCCTGTAGCGGGATATCTCCACCTTCCAGCACGCTCTTATAAATCTGCCTTTCATTGTCCAAGCCAGCAAGGTCCCCCGGTGCTGATTCGAGATCTCGCCTTACTGCATAGTAGTTGGGAGAATAGGCTGAGCTAGAAAATGATATTTTTTTAAAAAGAGAGAGAGAGAGAGAGAAAAGTGATGGGCCTTTTCCTGTTTGCTTCAAGAGCACCATGAGACAGGAAGAGGAAATTCTGCTTCTGTGCAAGGGGACGGATTAGATGACCCTGGATGACTTTTTTAATCCTATGACTCTAGGAAACCAGGCTTGTGAATCAAAACAGGGCTGTGCACACAAATCATACACTTCTGCTGGCAAAACAGTAGATGCAAAATTTCTAACTAGAGATCAAAAATTTCCAGAAATAACATGCTAAATACCCAGCATTGCTACAGTGCCATACATTCCAGTCTCTCAAGAATCTTTACCAGTAAATGAGAGGTGGGTAACTACTCTCTCTATTTCATAGAGGGGGAAACCGAGGCACAGAGAAGGCCACAAATGTCTTAGGCTACAGAAATTCAGTGGCTATGTTGAAGACAGACAGGCACCTTCCACATACCCAGTTCTCTGCTCTAACAGGTAAATCTTTCTGTCTGCCATTTACAAAGCATTTCTTCCCGTGAACAACCTATAGAATATACTGCTTAAATACATTCCTGAGTTCAAATTCTGCCCAGAGCATAATCTCAGTTTTTACATTCCACTCTGCCCACATACACAGAACTCCCTCTCTAGGGAGAACACATTTCTGCAGTCCAAGCAGATCTAAGAACAAAATTTTGTCCCTGGCATTGGATATACATTAGTTTAAAAATAAACCCGACTTCAGATATTTAGGCTGTAAGAAACTAAAATGATTTACTACTATCCCTCAACAGCCAAAGCGAAAGAATCTTCCCGAAGGTGCAAATCAGTGAAACATTTTGCCCAGCATATGATCCATGCAGTCCTTTGTTCTCTTCCAGATACAAAAGGCTAGCACTATTATGGTATAAATGGCTTTTCCAGAAGCAAAATACATGCCAAACAGTCAAGTAGACTGCTTCTCATAAGAGCTGATTTCATCCAATGCCAGTGCTTGTACAGCTTCAACCAGACTCTTTTTAATAAGATGCAATGTTAACATAACAAGGCTGTTCCTGGGGGCAAAGTACAACTGCTTGTAAGCTTTAAAAAAAAAAAATCAACTCATTCACTGATCCAAGCAAAGTGTTTGGAATCAGGTTTGGATCTCAATACCCAGTGGCAATTCCACCTCCCATGTCAATAATAACATACAGCACCTATGATTATCTGTGTGTGCCTGCCTGTGTCTGGTATAGCAGGATAGATATGGTGCTTACTGGGTAAAGGAAGGTTTTGGAACATGAGAGAACTGTTTATGGGGCTGGAATTACAAAATGTCTAGTACCCTACAGTCTCTGGATGACACAGAAGATTGCAAGTGGATCACACATGTTCAGTCCCACAGGTGGCTCCCTGGGATGATAAAATTGCTGGCAAAATACAAAATTACAGGCAGCAACAACTCCTTGCTCTTTCAAGCCCAGGAAAAGCTTCCACCGACTTCAGTGGGATTCATAAAAGCCCTGTTCAGCACTCTCAAGTCTCACCAAGTTTTGCCCAGTGCCTCTTTGCCTAAAGAGACCACACCAGCTGTTACCAGGGACATGACAGCTAGACCTCTGAGGCTCGCCACCTGGAAGGTGGAAGTATCTTAGCCCAGGGCTCAGATGAGTCCTTCTTAAGGAAAGTACCTGTGGGAGAGGAAGCATCTGGGAGAATCCTCTTATTGACTTCTCCCCATCTGTTCCCACCCTGTGAAGCAGACTGCAGTGCCGACAGCCAGTGGTATCCGCAAGAAGGCTCTAAGACTCCACTCCAGCTCTGGCAGCAGAAGCACCCCTACCTCAGCAGCCTGGTGGTTTAGCTCTCCTGGAAAAGGCCTGTGAATGGGCTCAGGCTGTTCATTCCCAGCCCCAGCAGCTCCAGGCTTTCACCCCTGCCCCAAAATAAACCCTGGAGTTGTGGCATGCACCACGGAGACACTGCTGCAAATGGAGCAACCCGATTCCCTTCTGTGGGGGAGATCAAAGGGCAGAGATGCAGAATGATTTCACCTCACAAACTGAGAATCAGAAGACATGGCTTATTTAAAAATTTAGAATTAATAAATTTACTCAATGATAATTGTAATTATGGGATTATAATTATCTCCTGGAGTCCTAGGGACATCAGAACCAAGCATTCTGGTTTCAGCCCCTCCCCAGTAACTATGGCATTATCTATTTATTTAGGCCACTTCAACTTTTGTGGAAGTCAGTCGGTGGCAGGTTCTCCACGAGCTTTGGTGAGACCTACAAAGAGCTCTGACAGAAGATAGAGACATCGTGATTTCAGAAAATGGAAATGATCCAAGGAGCAGCACTCTGGCCTGTCCACTACAGACAAAAGGTTCACAAGGTCTGGAACTCTCCGAGGACAGTCAGGAATACGGGTTCTTCTCAGCCATTGGCAAGGAAAACCTATACTTGTATATTTAGCGCTGGTTTCCTTTAGCACAGGTTTCCTTTTTTCTTTACTACACTGTCCTTATTAGAACAGATTATGGAAATGACTGACTTGACAAGGCCAAGACACCTGCCCAATTACAGTAATAGAAATCCCTTTGCAACAAGTGCATGTAAAACTGACTGCAGAAGAGCTCAAAAATTATATATCTTAAAAGGTCCAAGTAGGTGAACATACATAAAATTAATGGACAGCACAGAGGATGACATGTCTTTCCCCACCACGCATTCATCTGAATACGATAAATGTGCCACAGTGGAACGTTAGACATCTGTTTCAATTAAAGAGAATAACAGGTTAGCAGCGAGTGCTAACAACACAGCTAGCATAAATCTGCAGTGCTCAGGATCTTGCCCTGGAATTATTCTCCATCCTTTAAAGTAAAGCTGGATCCATCTGCAATCCACTTTCTGAATATTCATCTAAAATAGCAACATGCCATTTCAGTCTCCAAGCACTACTAAACTGTTTTTCCTTCCCAGAGTTAAAGGCATGACAATGGCTTCTTCTGGTACCAGCATCATTTTCATTTGACAACGAAGATGAATAGACATTATGCATAGTTGTGAACATCTGACAGGAGTTTCTTACTCATTTTATGCGAGTGTTAGAAACAATTATAGCACTTTGAGACTAGCTTACTTTACACACATCGCAACCAATTATTTGTACATTTCATCCATGGATAAATTAAGAGTTTTGTTTGCATTTTAAGCAGTAACTCTGTGGAACAAGGATCTTCACTGGATTAAGTAGCAATTATGTGACAATGTTAAACTTCATTCAAAGCTATTCTGCAACATTCTACATTCAATGAGTCTAACCAATGCACAAATATAACGTGCTTGGTAAGTGTAGGCATGTGTCACCACTTCCAAAATCCTCAGAAAAACCCAAACTGTAAAAAAATGCAAAAAGTCATTCTGAAACTTACTAGGATGAATGGTCTGTGGAAGTTTCCAGAGGAGTGGTGCTTGCTGTACTCTGCAAAAGTCCAAACAAAGAAGTCACAGATACAGACTTGCATTCAAAGAGAAAGAAAAAGCCTTGCTTAAGTAATTTTCCATCTCTAGCTAAAACGTTGGCCTTTGGGAGATATTGAGATTTAAATTTAAACACAAGCTAAAGCATCAATATCTCCACAGAAGAGCGACAATTTTCTTGGGTTCCTTCAGGGCAGTGACAGGTTTTAGCACAGCCGATGCCTTTTCACAGTGCCTATTCTTTTGTCTGCGAATGAGTCATTGTGAATAAAGCCAAAAGCAAGAAGAGATAACCAGCTGGGCCAGGACCAGGAGACACATGCTCATAATTATTTCTCCAAGCTTTCCCCCCAACCATCCCCAGCCCCCCTTTTCTTTAAAGGTATATCACATTTCTGTAGCACATACATTCATAATAATATTCCTCATAACGCTAACAAGAAAGGAAATGTTTCAATCCAGTTTCCATACTTAAAGGGAAGCAATGCCAGCTGCACAGGTTCAATAGCAAAAGCCAGTTCTCATCCGCTTGTTTAAATCCATCTAAAATTTTCTAGGCACACTGTTTAGTAATCTGAAGAAGTTTGGAAGATACATTTTGATTTAGGATTTCTACCCCCCCGCACACAAATCTAGATTCATGGACAGTTTGAAATGCAGCTGTACAAAAGTAAATGGGGCCTTTGCAATAGCAGCTTTTGTGAGTCCTGATCAAGTCATTGCAGATTTTTGTTTTCAGTGAATAATAATTTGAGCATTACTCAATGGGCATTTCTAGGCTATCACTGTTTGAGTCGCGTAGATCATCAGAAGGGCAGCAGCTGCTATTCTGCCCAAGAAGGCTACAGCAAGTAGAGCTTAAGGAGAGTTGTATAAAAATCTTTCATAAAAATCCAGATCTTGGATAGGCGCAGGGTCTCCAGAAGGCAGCAGAGAGTGGGGTATGTATGAAAAGAGAAAAGGCAATTTGGCTGAAAGGCACAAGATGATGATGTGACGTCAACCAAGAATTTTAAGCCGCTTGCTGCTGCCTATTCATGTGAAAAATAGCAAGGGGGTTTTGCTGAGACACCAAACTCAAAACAAACCTTAAAAAGGAGTTTGGGGAGGGAGGGAGAAGGAAAACACTATCTGAAATGGATTTCAAGCAGGATTCTCAGCTTCATGTTCTATCATTTCTGACAGCTACACAGCAAGCCATGCAGTCAAAACGGTCAGAACCATTATTTATCTCAATCTCATTTAATAATCATCCAGCAGTGAATAGATTAGAGCAGAGAGTTTGGAAACAAGGATTGACAGCATGAAAAGAATAGGAAATACCTTCTGTGGCTTTTTATCTGGCGTTTTATAAAGCTTCTCCATTTTTTCTAAATCTGCCTCTAACTCAGTCTGGTAGAGGTAGAGGTCTTTTTCTAGATCAGTCTGGTTAAAAGGAGAAGAAGAAGAATGGGAAAATAATGCTTAGGGTTAGGGGAAACCAAAGGAATGTTAATTTTGAAAAAAATAAGAGAGCCTTTTTATTGAAAAAACAGACTGAGATGGTACAGACACATTCACCAGTAATTAATCACTTAACAATAATTAGAGACAATTGTTTTAAGCATTTCACATTTAAATTCAGAGATGCACAAGGCCTGCTAGAATCTAATTTTACAAAGCAAATGCCACAAAAACACACCTGTTTAAAAAAAAAAATCAATCATACTGTAATATCAGTGCAATCTGCTGTTAGTGCAATCATTGCTGCAGGTCAAAAATCAATGCCACCATTTAGATCTATGGCAGATTATGCTTTAAGGATCATTTATTAAATAGATTTATTAGCCACTTAATAGTTAGGGTAATAAGATCAAACCAAATTAGCAAAGGAAAAAAAAATCATCACCCACAAGCGCACAAAATCCACACAGTGCTAGAGGAAAAGAAAAACTCTCCCACACCATACACCACAGTATAATGTATGTGAGACAATTACCTTTCTATCCTCTCTAGTAAGGATAGAGCAATCTCCAGGAGTATAATCCCATATCTTTTTTGGAGGCTGATGGAAAGCAGAGGAAGGAAATGAGGAAATGAAGATAAGGAAAGACATCACAGAGAATATGGAAACTGGATTAGAACAGAGGGGGTTACATTAGGGGTCTGCATCAACACCAAAAAATAAAATTAAAAAGAGAGAGCGAGAGAGAGAGACGAGAGGCATAAACCAGCTGTAGCACAAATTCCAGAAGATTATCGGAGGCCAAGGGCACATGCATGGTTTGAGGGGGTTTGGTTTTACATACTGGTTGGAAGCCATTTTTAGTTTTGCAAGGTGCTTTATGGGTTTTATGCTCCCCAGAGGGAGCATGCGGGCAGTGGTTCCCAACCTTGGGTCACGACCCAAATGAGGGTCGCGGGGGCAATACCAGTGGCGCCACACACAAAGGATGAACCGCGCTGCGTTCCAGGAGCTTCCTTGCCCCCACCCCCGGGCCACTGCCGCCACCACCACACTCCACTCTCAGCAGCGGGTCACGGCAAAAAAAGGTTGGGAATCACTGGGTTAAAGCATTCATAACATAAAAGCGAAAGAAAAAGGGAAGGGATTAACAGTCAAAAAAAAGCATTTGCTTGCTCACTTTTCTTTCTAAAAAGGGAACAGCAGAACGAAGGCCTTTCATAAATAAAAAGAAGAGATGTTTTCTCCCTGCCCAACTCTACCCCCATTGCAGACTGTATATACATACCATGTTAACAAATGGCTGAATTTCCATGTTTGCATTGTAGGGCAATGAGAATGCAGAACTGTTATTTTCCATTCCACTCTTTGGAGTGGCAGGTGTGAGGTACAATGAAAACTGGGCATCCGTGATTTAAAAAACTCAACCTATATGGGATGGCTCTTGATTTTAAAGGAATTTTGGGTCTTTGTTTAAGTTACACTTCTGGTGGAATGAGTAATATTGCAGAGCACTGATCAGGCCTTATGTCCTAATGTCTCCTTCTACACAGATAACACCATGCTAGGCAGTCCCAGCAGCACACAGTTCATGCATGGGGCTGAAGACACAGCCAGGAATGGCTATTCTTTCTAAGTGGATTCTTTTCCACGCCCCCAAACCAAAAAATATGATCTCCCAGTTCACAAATTAAGCAGTCCTAAGTGTTTATATTTTTCCATCTGAGGCATGTCACAGAGAGAATAAATAGAGAGCTTGCCAATGTCCATTTTACTGGAGGTGGAACTGAGCTGAAAATTTTGGATCTTGATTCAACTCTCTCCAAAATTCATTTTTTTCTATTTCTACAGCCACTTTTTAGACTGCAGATACTTCAAATGACCATTACTGATCCCAAGAAATCTGTGGCTATCATTCATCATTTGTTCACAGTTATGGCAGATGGACCTATAGTAGAATCAATGGAGGTCTTTTGGGTTGAACAAGTCTCTTCTTCGCAAAACTTCTTCCTTCCAGTGTTATAGCAAAAAACATAATCACAACTGCCCTGGAAAGATCAAAGTGAAGTTGCCAACAGATGCAGTTTTAAGCACTAGGAGAGCACCAGGGAAATTGCCCATGATACCAGGCCACAAACAGACCTCACTAGGATAAGTTACTACAAGCCACCTAATGTGTGGATCCAAGAAGCAGGGATGGTCTTACACCTCTTCAGCCACTGTCCAGGCCCCCACCGAGTCTAGTACTGGATAGACATGCTACAGTCTAGTGCTGGTTAGACAGGCCAGTGTTATTTGATCCCCACAATGAAAGACAATGGAACTGAATGACAAGTTCTATAGACAGTCCCTTTAGAGCCTGGGAGCTACAAACCATAATTAGGGAGCAAGAGAAGAGGAAAGTCTCACTGAAGGCATCCCCATATGCAGGGCAAAAATACCAGCGGCACATTGTCTTGGGTGGATTCCTAGGAGTCTCCCAGGGCAGCAGTGGTGGCAATCCAGCTGCTCGGAGCCTGGCTGGCAGCCAGAGTGTGGCTCTGACTGGCCAGGCTCCCCTTCTGGTGCATGCTGCTACTATGTGCACGACACCACTTTTTTCAGCAGTTTTTTTTTTCTGACACTGGGACCTCCCAGTGTCAAAAAAATCCATCATGCTGCAAATTAGCAGCACAGTGAACAGGTGCGTGTGTGCTGCATGCAGTTTGCAGTGCCTCAAACCACACATGCACACTTGTAGGGACTGTCCACTGAAGGACTGTCCACTCTCCACTGAGCCTCAGCAGTGTAGCAAAAAAAGGAACCCACGCCAAAGGGACTGAATCCCACCGAGACAACAGGGCCTTTGTTCACAGGGCGCACACGCTGCCATAGCACCACTGAGACTTCCATGGCACCGGCTAGGAACAGATATGGAATACCAAATGAGAAAAGTGCCGCTTCACTCTTCTCAAGACAGCTGCTGTGACCTGTCTAATCCAAGTCATGTCAACAAGGGGCCTTCCAGGGCCTGGTTTTCCATGGCTTTGTGCCTAGCAGTCACTCTGCCTAAAGCATAACCCAGCCAGAATTGTACCAATGGCAGCATTCATGCCTACTTTATGAGTAAGGAAAAATGCCACAAGACATTTAGGCCTAGGATTTCAGTGGAAGCCAAGGTGAGCCAAAAAGCATTTTGAAAAGCCCAGCCCTAGCCAACTCAAGCTACATTGCCCTGACTGGACATGCGGCTGTTGATGGTCTGGTTCTCTACGGGCATGGAAAAAAGTTCTACAGCTGGGAGCTGCTCTTTAAGACCAGAACTCATTTTTCAGAGCTGTGATTCAATGGAGTGTTGTCAGAATTTTATCATTTTCCAACAAGGGGAGACTGCCACATGTGGCTGTAACATTTCTTCTTGGAACGCTATTCTCCTCCAGTCATCCTACCTCTGAAACTGAGCAGTGTGCATAGAGCAGAAGTGCATGACTTGAACACTCAAATATGAAAGTCAGAGACAGATGCCATGTCTTCTGACAGCTATAAATCTTCTGCCCAGGTCTCTGACCCCATTCACCCAGCCCAGCCTGGGTGGCAGGGGGCATGGCTCAGCTCAGCCATGCGCATCCTGCCACTCCCGACTGCGGAGCCTCTGACAGACTGAAATCAACTGTCAGAGGCTCCACGATCGACCAATCAATCTCCGTGGTTGGTGTCTACTGCTCTAGAGGTCTTAAGAACAATGTGGGGCTAATCTTTTTTAAATAGTCTCCAACAAAATGACATCTGTCCTTGTTGGATAATTAGGCTTTGTTTTATCATTCTTAGAGCTGTGAAATCAAGGGATTCTTTCAAGACAGCTGTGCAACTTGACTTTTAATAAAAGCACATGATTTTCTTGATTCCACTATTTGTAGGGGATTGTTTCAAGGAATAGTTCTGGAACACTCAATGCAAACTTGGGACACTACGCTTGGGACACTGCAGGTGACATGCAGAAGGGAAAGAGCAGGAAATGGTGAAGATCAGTTTGTGGACTTTTCAAACAAAAAAACCTAAGGAACAAGGGCTGACATAAGGGAATGATTTAAGTTGTGTCATAGGGTAAGTAACAGCGATCCTGGACCCTGGAGAGGGAACAAGTGAATGGAAAAGGGGACTTAAATTGTTGAGAATGATGGGTGTCTGTACATGAGTGCTGAGGCTGTTCTGATGTGCTGTAATTACAATGCATTGGAGCAGACTTAATTAATCAAGCAATTAGCACATTCCAGCAGCTTCCCACATCTCATATATCAGCATCCCCACATTTCAAAATGGCGGTGGGGGCACCTGAACTAAAGTTCATCAAACAAGCTTTAGCTCAAGCTCCCCTGCTGCCATTTTGAATGCAGGGACACTGATACACGAGATGCGGGAAGCTGCTGGAGTGTGGAAATTGCCACATTCCAGCAGACTCGATTAACCATGCTGCAATTATAGTATGTCAAAGCAGCCTCCATGCTCATATACAGGCACCCATCATTCTCAATAATTGCTTCTTGGAGCTGCTCTAATTAAAGTGCCACCCCCATCCCCAGAGCACATGTAAAAGTGCCCAATGGCATTTACTGCTCCCATTAAAAAACAAAAATTCAATCAGAACTCCAACATGTGAAAGGAACATAGGCACCAACTTCTATTTTTGCCAGTGGAGGGGGCGGCCAAAGATGATGGACATGTGGGAAGTTTTACATGTTTCAGATGACAGCCCTCTTCCCAAGGGGGCCAGGGTCCTCGGGTCCCCATGTACTTGGCACCTCTGGAAAGGAAGGTTGCCCTTCAGCATGTTCTCTTTTGAAACTGAAGTGCAAATGTTAAGTCTTAAAAATGTTGAAAGGTGTCACAGAGCAGCAAAATGTTGATGTCCAGTTATGAATAGCCATTTTTCAAATGGGAAGGCTGTTGTTCAGTGCCTGGGACCTACAGTAGTTGCAACAGCATCATTACATATGTAGGTTGACTTCATCATTCATTGTAGCTATCAAACTTACCGGTTTCCCAAACTCCAATTCCGAAAAGAATTTATACCAAGGTTCATTCTTTAAATCTATCTCTTCTGGGCTTATATCCCGAGTCTAAAGGAGTTGGTGATAGGGGAATGAAAGAAAGAGAAGGATAACATTATGCAAAGAATACACAGGAAAGGAACTGGTAGAGATGCAGTGTCCACGCTTCCAGTGTTATCATGTAGATATTTATTTAACCTAATAATTTTTCACTTTCCTAATTCTTCTTATCTGAGGAGCCCTGAGAGCTTTACAAGCAGTAATTAAGTTTGACAGCTCTCTCATAAATACTCTTTACATTCTACAGGTGGGGAAAATGAAGCACAAAGAGTTGAAATGACCTTCCCCAGGTCACAGAACAAGTCAGTGAAAAGGCTGTAAACAGACGCACCTCAGGACTATTTGTTCCTACTGTTGGACTTTCCCTCTGATTCAAAACTAAGCTTTGTTTTATTATTATTAATTTTCATGTGAAAAAAAAGAAACTAAAAAAAAAAAAATCAAATGTTCTGAGCCCCAGATCATTGTTTAAAAAACCACTGGAGGACACTGCATCTTTAACAGCACATGGATATGTAAGAAACCCTCTTCTGTACACAGTAAGCAGAGTGAGTAGTGGTATTCTATATCAAAGAGGACATGACCAAGGGACACATTTCTGATAGATTGCTAAGGGAATGATTGCAGAGACAATACACTTTGCTTATTCACAAGCAAATGTTAGAGAATCAGACAAAACGAAAATGAAGAAAAAAACCAGACAGGACAAGTAACAGAACAACTAAAAAGAAAGGTCCTTTTCTTTCCTCATACCTATTTTAATGGAACAAGCTGCAGCTGCTTAGTGATGGTATTGGCTATGTGAGAAAATAAATCCATTGCTCTGGGTTATGAAGAGCCACTATACAAGACAGAGTTGGTTCAACTACCCCTGAGTTTAATGGATACAAGCACACTACTCACTTATATGCATCGTGTGACTGCAGCAGAACACCGAAGCATCTGTGATGGGCCCAACTTAACCCTCTTTATGTTGCTATGATGGTGTGTACAAGAGCTATGCACAGAAGCCAGCATATGTGGCTTCATTCTGTCCCCTGCCATGGGTCTTAAACTGAGCTGGGGGATTAAAGTGGGGTGGCAAGAGGGAGTGGTGTTGAACACTAACAGGGACTCTGGACTGCTTCAATGGAGGGCTCCTATACATTGTAGCAGCTGTGCTACTGTCCAGCACCTCTCCTATACACAGCAAGTGAATAAGTATCATCCCGCCCCG